AGGTTGTGTTAGGAGGAAGTGCCATACACGTTATCTTGCCATCTTGTGAGGTTAACGTGTCAATTTTGGAGTGGGCAGGCGCATTATCAAGCAGCAGCAAAGCCCGAACTTCGCTTGGCCTTACTTTGAGTTTCTTAACTTGATAGGCACGAACTTCCCTGCAGAACACGTCATGAAACCAGGAAAGAAAGATCTCCTGTGTAAACCATGCATTTTTTGAGTTAAAATATTTGACTGGCAGTCTGTCCATGCAATGTTGCAAGGCTCTTGGTTTCTTAGATTTACCAACAATTGCACACGTGATTCTGTCTGTGCCATCGGCATTCGCACACATCATGGCCGAGAGCCTGTCCTTGTTGACCTTACGTCCTGGCATACAACCCTCACTCCTCATTGCTAGAGTTTTTTCTGGTAAACTCCTCCAATACAACCCAGATTCATCGGCATTATAAATTTGATACAAATATAAATTATTTGCCACAATGTATGCCTCGAGTCACGAGCAGACTGGATTAATACCGTACGGCCCGCCTCATGGGTTTCATATACGGACAAAGCCATGATTATCCGGTCAACTGTCTGGATAGTGTAACATCGGCAGAAAATTAACCGACCCTGATATTTTATCTGACCAAACCAGCTTTTATCCGGTTCCTGTGGCCATTTTGGCCAGATATTGTGATAACTTTATCCGATCACGATTTTGACCATATAGGAAGCCATCTATAACTGGGCCAAGGTGTAGAGTGAATTAAAGGAATCGACTTTGAAAAATTCCTGGAAAAAACTCCTCACGTCTACGGTCAGAAATGAGGAGGATGCAGAAATGGATTTTGAAGGATTTACAGATGAAATCCATGAAATGTTTAGAAATGCTGGCAAAAACTTAGAAATACAGGATGTGGTTGATTGGCTTGAACAAGATGCCAATGACCCAGGATATGGTGTGATGAGTGAAGACGAGATTCTCCAGTCTATTACTGGCGAGGTCGATGAAGAGTATGAAGAAGGAAGTGAAGAACCAACACCAATGACCACAAAATACAGTGTACTCATGACCAATGTTGACAGATCAATAAATTTGTCATCTAATTGTGCTCATCCAGAGGTTGGAAACATGTATCTGTTCCTTAGGCGAACAAAAGAGCTGATCTTACAACTGGCCAATGAACACAGAAGGCAAGCAACACTTGATTCTTATATGGTACGAAAATCAAACCAAGCACCTTCAACAAATGAGGCGGCACATGCAACCCAAGCGCCTTCAACAAGTGAGGCGGCACATGCAACCCAAGTGCCTTCAACAAGTGAGGCAGCACACGCAACCCAAGTGCCTTCAACCAGTGAGGTGTCACAGGCAAGCCCAGCACCTTCAACCAGTGAGGTGTCACAGGCAAGCCCAGCGCCTTCAACCAGTGAGGTGTCACAGGCAAGCCCAGCGCCTTCAACAAGTGAGGTGTCACAGGCAAGCCCAGCGCCTTCAACAAGTGAGGTGTCACAGGCAAGCCAAATGCCTTCAATCAGTGAGGCTTCCGCAACTGACAGTGAAAACTAACTTTGCCTAATGAACTGTACAGTAATTTTAAGTGTTAATTTTAGTGTTGTGTTAGTGTAAGTTATGTAAATTGTCAAGAATTTTTAACTTCAAGATGTGTGGCATCAATCAAGAAGACGAACAACAACAAGGTAGGTTGAGGTTTCTAGTTGAATATTTAATAATTATATGTGGCAAGGCAATTCAAATTATGTTGTTTGTAATATAAAAATACTAGTTGGAAATGGTTAGTTTTGGACTCATAGGTGAAAAAGTACCATTATCCGAAAAATGTGATAATCCGGCTGGGGGTCCTTCCCATATAGTCCGGATGATCGAGTGGAGACAGTATGTGATGTCAGTACAGTACATGGGAGACATGTCATTAATGAAAAGACTTTATCAAGATAATTTAGGTCAAGACCAGGCCAAAAGTAACTTTCAGCTAGAGAGTTTACTTTAATTTCAATCTCCACATGTAAAAAACCAGCGTTGAATGTAATGAAACGCCATTTTCTGGGTGAGACCCGGAGGCATCCCGGAGCTTTACCGGCTGATATGCTAATGTCAGACTTTGGCATCAGTCATGTGTATGGAGTTCTAGGGCCTACCGGGGACCACGGCCAGAACCTGGCCCCCTCAGAGAGGCAAGGGGAGCAATGGCCTATAGAAACCCCCGTGTGGTTGGAAGCATTCTATGTCTGCCATCGACCGGGTCAAGCATCCAGAAAGGTAAGCATTCCAAAACAAACCCCTATTCTGGTGAAAATTGCTACCTAAAGCCGAACTAGTGGACAGAACTCTTCAACAGAAAACAAGGAAACTAGTATGACGTCATACGTCACCGCGCCGCTGTCTGCGCAGCTTCCCCCTCCCCGGGAGGGGGAAGGGGGAGCCCCAGACCTCCCACGCCGGCTATCCACCCATCAGTTCTGAGGCTGGATGTCAAAACACGCGAAAAACCGCCGACTGGAGGGAGGGAGGGTTGCCGGGGAGCCTCCGGGTCTCACCCAGAAAATGGCGTTTCATTACATTCAACACTGGTTTTCTGGGGGGAGCCTGTAATACTTTCTGTAATGTAATGTAATACTTTCTGTTCTGTAATATTCTGTAATACTATCATGGCTAAATAATACATGTTATATATATATATTTTAACATTATTAGGCGATGCTGTGGTCACAAGCTGAACAGCAGTGCTGCGAGCTCATGCTGTGTGCGCCAGCCTAGGTTGCTCACTCAGTACTGAGGCTCTCACACCCGGGAATGTGGCCCAGGATTTTTTTTAAAGATGGTGTCTGTTTACAAGAGCCCTGAGGAAGATGATATGAACCACATGTAGCCGTGGGAGTTTTGAATGGAACACTAAAAATAAAAATACCCGGAGGTGCGTTGCACATCCCCATCGAGGGCCTGCAGGCGCGTTGCGCAGTTGAGGGGTTAAATAACACACCATAATATTTTAAAAGTATTTGGTTGGCTATATATTCATTTCAATATTAACAAGATAATAAAATGGGTATTAACACAACTTAAGGTGCATATTATGGTGCCATTATACATCATGTGTTGACACTCTTGGGCGAGTTGGGAAGGGCTTGTGTGAGAGAGAGGGGGTATAAGCAGGAAGGAGACATGTAATCATCTGTCTGCCCAGTGTTGTGTCTTGTCTGGCAGTCTGAGGCACAGACTTTGTGCAGCTTGACAGCTTGTCTTGCCTGTCGGCATTTTCACAGCTTGTCTTGCCTGTCGGCATTTTCACAGCTTGTCAGCATCTTGACAGCCTGTTTTCCCAAAAGAGCTGGGAGGGGGAGAATGGGAGCATGGCATGGTAGGGAGGGGGAGGATTGAGTGATGGTGAGGGTTGGGTGGGTGGTGGATGGAGGGAGGGTGAGGGTTGGGAGGGGGAGAATGAAGATAGGGAGAGCTGGGAGGGGGAGCATGGCATTGGTAGAGAGGGGGAGGATTGGGTGATGACATGGGTTGGGAGGGTGATGGGTGGAGGGTGAGGGTTGGGAGGGGGAGAATGAAGATAGGGAGAGCTGGGAGGGGGAGCATGGCATTGGTAGAGAGGGGGAGGATTGGGTGATGACATGGGTTGGGAGGGTGATGGGTGGAGGGTGAGGGTTGGGAGGGGGAGAATGAAGATAGGGAGAGCTGGGAGGGGGAGCATGGCATTGGTAGAGAGGGGGAGGATTGGGTGATGACATGGGTTGGGAGGGTGATGGGTGGAGGGTGAGGGTTGGGAGGGGGAGAATGAAGATAGGGAGAGCTGGGAGGGGGAGCATGGCATTGGTAGAGAGGGGGAGGATTGGGTGATGACATGGGTTGGGAAGGTGATGGGTGGAGGGAGGGCAAAGGTAGGGTGTGGATGTATAGAGATATGGGTAGGGAGAGTTTCACCCACTCTCCTGCCTGTGTGACCACATACCTAACTGCCTGCCCACCCACTGAAACCTGCCTGCCTGCCTGCTTGCCCATCCACCTGCCTGCGTGCTTGCCCATCCACCTGCCTGCCTGCCCATCCACCTATCTGTACACCTGCCTGCCTGCCTACCTGCTCGCCCACCCACCCACCTGTTCACCCACTTGCCTGCCTGCCTGCCCACTCATCTACCAACCACCAAGCCCATCTGCCTGCCATCCACTCATCCAGCCTGCCCACTCATCCCACCTGTCTGCCCGCCCACTTGCCCTGCTCACCCACCAGCCAGACAGCTAACCACCCACCCAGCCCTACACATAAATTATCTTTTGTGGAAATTCAAATTATCATGGTTGTGGTACAAAAAATTGTGAATATGTTCACTTTTGGATTTTCCTGGTAAAACATCTGTTAATCCGGATGACTGGCCTATCTTGATGGGGGGGCTTTCCCAAATAGTCCAGATTAGCAACTTCATCAGTAGCTGATTGTTTTGTGTATGAAAAATATAAGTAGTCTTCTGTTTAAAATGTATTTTTAAGTCAATATTTTTGGGGGTGTGGAAGGTATCATTTCAATCTACATTATTTCTTATGGGAAAATTTGTTTTGGTGTATGAGCCATCTTTTGGAACGGATTAAATTCATAGACCAAGGTTCCACTGTACATACAGAACAGTAAATGTCATTTTATACAAAGTGAATAAGAAAAAAAAAAGATTTACATATCGAGAAAGAGAAAATGGTAAAGAGAAGAACCCATATTTGTGTGGGACAAGACAACACATTTGCCAAAGCTCAGTTACTAGCTGATGAAATGTGTGTGTAAAAGAGGAGCAGGTGCAGAAATCAGTGTTTTCACTACTGCAATGACAATTTTGAATACAGTACCTGAACTTTTATTAAAACCAATTTAACAGCACTTAAATTTTTTAAATATCATTCATAATTAAATTTAAAAAATTAACTATCAATATGTATGCTATACTGTATATGCAATTATAATAAAATATAGTTTTCAACATTAAACTTCATTTCTAACCTGTGCTGAGGTTGTTAATTGGGTCCTCTCCTACAGAGACTGTGTCATCATCTCTTGACAAGCTGGCTGTTAGAGGATCTGACAGATTTAAATTAAAATTATTACAGATATATAATAAAAAAATACAGCATTGAATGTAATGAAACACCTGTTTCTAGGTGAACCCAGGAGGCCCCTGAAGCTATCATACACTGATCAGTGCCACACTACTAAGTGCCATCGTCGTGGAGTTCCATTTACCTACTGGAGAATACGAGCCAGAACTTTGTCCCTTCAGAGAGGTGCAGGGAACGATAGCCTATGATCACTTTACATTTAACACCAGCCGTGCATTGGTTTTATTTTGACAAATTGGTGGTGCACTGAAAATACAGATTCCAATTTTTTTTCCTTTTTTGGGATATTGTTAAAATCCCTTCTCTGAACATGTACATGAAGAAAGTACTTTGAAAAAACACTTACTTTGGCTGTAATGACATGGAGAAAGTAAAGTGTGAGGTCACTGGAAAATGTTTGCCCATGCGGGAGGCTCCAGGAGGCGGTCGCACTGGCAATTCAAGACTCACTATTTGCCACAAATATATTTTCGTCCATTTTCAATGCATTTTCATTGCTTTCTAATCACTTTTTTTATCATATATGATGTACATTTGTGTTCTATATAATATGTACACAGTAGAATGTTCATAATGCTCCAAGGAACTGTGATACATGTGTCACTAATGTGTCCATGAAAAACATTTATGTTACAATATTACTTGATGAATATTCAACTTATTAACACTATTTTTACATTATCACACACCATTTACATTGTCACACACACTATTACACACTCAGTACTTAGAGAGTGAGTGATAATCACCGAAGCAGTCCATGGTACACAGCACAACTTTGCACTCAACACACCAGGTATAGGAGATGAAGATGACTGTCATGCCCTCCAAATGGATCTAGATAATATAAGCGCCTGGAGCGACATGTGGCAAATGGAATTCAATGTGAATAAATGTCATGTTAGGAATGTTGAAGCGGAAAAAACAGACCACACCCAACTTATAAATTATGTGGAAAGGAATTAAGCCTTTAAGTGCGCAACACATCATGTGATGTGTTCAGTGGCTTACAGTAACTTGCACTCCACATCATATGATGTATTGGAGTACTGCCCAAGATTTAAACGGCCCGCGGATACACAGGGTTCACCACACCTTCATCAGGGCTCTTGTAAACAGACGCCATTTTTTTTTAAATCGTGGGCCAAGTTCCCGGGTGTTAGGGGCCTCAGTATTGAGTGAGCTACCAAGATTGATGCACGCAGCATGATCTCACAGCACTGTTGTTCAGCTTGTGACCACAGCATCACCTAAAAATGCCATAATATACATGTTCATGCTATTATTTAGCAATGATATTATTACAGAAGACCCCTGACTGTGATAAAAATTGACCAGGATTCTGATAATAGCAGGATTGTTGTGATAATTAGCGCCCTAGTGGGAGGAGTAATCTTGGTGGAGAGGGAAGTAGCATTGTCTGCTGACTCGTGTGACCACCTTTTACTGTCTGGACTCACTATACCAGCTTAGTTGTTCGCTATGGTAAACAAAACATGCAAATACTTATATATAACGTAATATAAAAGCAAAAACAGTATGGTGGGAGGAGAATGGTGGCGAGTCAGGTGAGGTGAGGGAGGGAGGGAGTAGCAGCCAGTGGCGAGCAAACAGCAAAAGGAGTGTGGGGAAGAAGCCATTTTGGTGATGGGTGTGGCAACATCTGCATGATTTGTCATGTTGGTAGAGGGTGGCCACTATGCTCTTTGGGCATTATACCGGCTTAGTTGAACAGTTATGGTGAACAAAACATGTAGATACTTATATATAACGTCTGTATATAGGATAATAACACCACAAACAGTATTGTTGGGGGGTGAAATTTTAGTGCGTCTGACCCTGAATGTGTGAGGGAAGCAGCCACCGCCTGACTGTGTGTAGCGACGTCTCTTAGTGCCTGAACTAACTATATCAACTTAGTTGTACAGTTGTGGTGAACACAACATGTAGATACTTATATATAACATCTGTATATAGTGAATAAAAGCAAAAACAGTATTGTGGGAAGAGAATGTGGGTGAGTCAGGTGAGTTGAGGGAGGGAGGAAGTAGCAGCCAGTGGCGGGCTGCCACTGCCACTCAGCATGCCAACTTAGTGGTTCATTATGGTGAACATGAATGTAGATATTTATATATAACGTCTGTATATAGTGAATAAAAGCAAAAACAGTATGGTGGGAGGAGAATGTGAGCGAGTGAGGTGTTGAGGGAGTGAGTGGCCGTGAGTGGCTGGCTGGTGTGTGGCGATCACTCCTCATTGCTTTTTGACTCATAATAGCAACTTAGTGGTTCATTATAGGCAAAACATACAGATACTTATATATAACCTGTGTATATGGTGTAATAACTGACAAAGTATTTGTTCACTGCTTGATGAACATAATAATTGAATCAACAATATACACACCATATTTTTGAGTACAGCGATGATTCACTCATTATATAAATACAGTGGTACCTCGCATAACGATTGCCCCAAAAGACGAATATTTTGGGTAACGAACGGCCCGATCGGCGTCAAATCGTCCCTTATGACGAACGCTGGTTTGAGTAACGTCAACACCACGTGGTGGGGTCGCGCTGCTTCTTGCACATTCTTAGACGCCTCCGACGATGCACATAAATTATGTTGTTCTTGTTTAAAGATGCTAATGATGCTGGGATATAAAAGGGTGACTACTGAGATGTTGCAAAGCATTGACGTTTTTGTAGGAAAAAAGAAATGAAATGTCTGATATACAACAAATGTCAAAAAGGTTCGTTCGGTGTTCGGCAGGTACGCTGCTCCATTATAACAATCTTTCTTTGTTTCAAATGTGTTCCATTTGTTTTTTATTTGTCATTTGCGTCTCAATAATGGAGAAGCCTACCTTACATACACTGAATAAACCATTATGACATTTTCCTTTCTTCAAATGTGTTCAATATTTATTTTTCATTTGCCTTATAGCAAAAGGTTCGTTCAGTGGTTGGCAGGTAGGCTGCTCCATGTTTCTTACATACAAAAAACGTAAATAATAAAAAGAATGAAGAATTTTGAAAACCAGTACAAATTTCAAAAAGGTTCGTTCGGTGGTCTACAGGCCGGCTGCTCCATGTTTCTTAAAAAAAAAAAAAAAAAAAAAAAAAAAAATAAAAGAACTGTTGAAACAATTTGAAAAATGGACAAATGTCATAAAGGTTCGTTCAGTGTTTGTCGGGTAGGCTGCTCCATTATTGAGACGTAAGTGACAAATACAAAACAAATGGAACACATTTGAAACAAAGAAAGATTGTCATAATGGAGCAGCCTACCCCACAAAAACTGAACGAACCTTTTGCCATAACGAATATGAAAGACAAGGGCTGCTGGCTGGGTTAGTACTGCGTGAGCAACCATTTGTGGCACACGTGCCTCTGGCTCTCAAACACCTGTCCCACACGGTGTTGAAAGACTGTGCTCAGTCGGTGCAATTCAGACCCTTTTGTTTGAAGAACATAAGGGTCATAACATTGGTGAAGCTAGGCACAATAAGGGCTTAACACAACGGTCGGATGCCAGTGATACAGCACCTATGAGGATGATACAGCAAGCGTATCCAGGTGTAGCTCTGAGCCCCACCCTTGCCATCTCTAATGTATATAGATGATACATAGATGAATCGTTTTCTGCGTTCAGTGATGATGCATCTGATACAAGTAGCATAGATTAACAGTGTTAGCGGCTTCCATGGTGGTGGTGTTCATTGATATTTTCAAGAATACCTGAATCTTTTCCTGACTGATGGACACTCTTTGAGGCTAGCTGAATCTCTTCCTGACTGCTGGACACTCTTTGAGGCTAGCTGAATCTCTTCCTGTGTGGGACCTTACAAAGCGATTTTTTCAAGACTACCTTACAAATTGAGCTTTTCCTATAATCGTTTCAATACTACTTTATGCTTTACAAGCTTGGCTACATACCACCTACAAGTAGTAAAGCCAAGGGTGCACGCAAGTGCGTTATTTGCAAGCACACATAACGATGAAACAGGAAGCAAAAATCTATCTGTAGCTGGTGCAAGGAGAGCAAAGTCGCGCTGTGTACCATGGACTACTTCGTTGACTATTATGCACCTCCAAAGTACTGAGTGTGTAATACAGTGTGTTACTGTGTAAATAGTATGTGAAACTGTACATATTGTAATATTAGTGAATTATTACCACGTAATATTGTGACAATAAACATTTATTGTGGACACATTACTGACACATGTATCACAGTTTCATGGAAAATTATGAACATTCTACTGTATACATATTGTAAAGGTCACAAATATGCATCATATACGATAAATGAAACAAATAAAACCGCATTGGAAATGCATAGAAAAAATATTTGAAAATATATTTGTGGCAACACGCGATGCTTGAATGGCCTGCGCGACCGTGTCTGGGAGCTTCACACACGGGCGACCAGGCCCTGATGACGTCACAGCGCACCTTGTCCACGCCCTCACAGCCAAAGTAAGTGGAATTTGGTAATTATTTTTACATAGACATGTTCAGGGACGGTAATTTATCATTTTACAAAGAAAAATTTTATTTTGGGGAACATTTGATGTCATGCACTCTGGGGAAATTTCACAATAAACACAGTGCATCACACTGGTTACATGGGGGACACTCGTTTTGTATGACGTCCGTTTCACATGACGAACATGGAACGGATTAAATTCGTTATGCGAGGTACCACTGTATATCACACTACACACTATTGAATAATATTACAGCAAAAAAACTATGAAGAATCAATCAGAGGCATTGAAATAATTAGGTAATTATCTCTTTGTGGCCACTCCTGCCTGACAGCTGGCGAGCAACAGACCGTCTGGGACGCATGCTGAGTCAGCGCCTGTTTTTTGCCAGACTTCCCCACCCTATAGCGGGCAATATATGCCACTTATGATTTTTTTATTTTTCCCATGATCAGAGAACACAAATT